AGCAAATTTTAAAATTTAATATTGCCAAATTTTGCCTCACCGTTGGCATTCAGTTAAATACGAAATCGGTTTGGGCCCACGGTGAGGCAAAATTTGGCAATATTAAATTTTAAAATTTGCTCAATGCTCTTGTTTTAAAGTTTTTAGTCGCACCCTCACCGAAGAATGCTGTTTTTTAAATGTAGTTTTATTTAATTTTATTTTCCAGAACGCAATTTTTTCTCGCCTCATAAAAAAATCCCACATTTAGAATTGCATCGTCAGGGTTTTACATCTTAGAAATCTTTAGCGATACAAAAAATAAAATTTTTTTATTTTTGGCGTTTTAATTTGACAGTTTTCAATTTCAAATCTTCCCAAATTTTAGAAATATTAAAAACAAGCGTAAATTTTATTACTGTATTTCTGTCACATACATTTTCCGAGTTCATCACCACTTAATGTAACAAAATTGGATTGCCAAATGTGGTAAAAGTCCAAATATAATTTATTTCAAATTTTTTCCATTTAATTTTTAAATCGCAATGATTTAAAACGTTGCACTTTCGAGGATCATTTATTATATTGCAAAGCAGTACATAACGTAACGTAACATAGGTGGTGTTGCATCGTAAAAGTGACATGGATGGAAAGTGATCATGAATGAGTGAACATTTCTCCACCGACTTTTGGCCCCAATCTCATAAATCTTTGCACAACGATCTAATCCGATCGCTAAAATTCTACACGGGGAGAAAGCACACTCTTAAAAATGTGATGAGATTATTTCTTTTTTCGAAGTCGTTTTCTCGGAAATTGTAATAAAAAATTGGTAATAAAACACGACAAGAAAGGACGACCTATTAATTACCAAATTGTCTTTAAACCCTTGAACGTTATGACGACGAAATAATTTATTTCTTCATGTTGATGCTATATTTTATAATTAGGTGTGAGACGAGTTTTGACATAACAGCTAATTTGGACGGTTCCACTGGGAACTTTAGGGGCGTCACCGGTCAAGGACGGGGGATATTCGAGTTCATTACATGAAATCTGCAAAAGATAATAATTAAAGTTAAGGATTAGTAATAAGATAAGACCAAATCGATAAAAAATATGTTCCGTAAATACAATTTGGCTATATCTAATTCTTATTAATGTCGAAAGATAATGCATGAACCGCATTTTCGACAAAAAATAAAGTGATCTCTTATTAATAATAAAACATTATCGAAATGGTGAACTTTAACCGGTCGAGATTACCGCTTGGTAAAAAAATGTTTGGCACTATATTTCTTAGAGTTCGAAACACTAATTGTGAGTAGGATGCAGTGCAGTTAACAAATTCCAATCTAATCCACTGGTGGAAGCACTTTGATAATTGCTGCGAGAATCTGGTCGAGATCATTTGTGCTCAACTTTCACTTCAATCATTGCCTTCCCGCGAGTCTAATGGAAAGCCTCGGGTTCGGAATGATCTGCCCAACTTTAAAGTGACCACGAGGGACTTATTATTACTCCAGATGGATGGCTACTCCAGACGTTAGAGAAAACGATAAAGGCAGAAGAACGCACGATTTACGAAGCAGGAAGTGAAGAAAATCACGGTGTAAAGCCAGTGCTAAAGATTTGTCCAAATTTTATCGCTCTTGTATTGCGACCCGGTTCTAACTTCAATGACCATGTGTAATTTTTTTTGGCATACGATTTTCCTTTGTGATCTTTCTAAATTTATGCGGAGTTTACACGGTTACAAGTAACGAGGCGAATTTTAATGATTCATGATTTAAATTCAGTTTTAATTTAATGGTGCCCAATTAATGAAAGGTTTCTGCCTGTGGTGGGATTTAATGGGTGTGGCATGCGGTGGGATCGACAAGTACGCTTCATTTTCACCCACTTTCACTTATCTGTATTTGTACCCACGCGGATGAAATCAGACGATTTGGAGGAGGAAGAAATCAGATCAGTCTGTTCGATGGGCAGGTGTAAATTGGAAAATGGGTGATCTTCACTTACTTGTCTTCTACCTGAGTGAGCACAAAGCAGTGCAGACCAATGGACCAAGGGCCGTACAGAAAGGATATGGATTTTCTTGTAATCAATGCGGTTAAACAATTTTTTCGGAGTGGAGGTCGCTTTATTGCCTGGGTAATGATTTAGTATAAATACTGATAAATAATTTTCATCATAATTTGTCAACGAATGCATAATTTTCTGCCAACAAAGGCAATTTCCAATTTTCGCAATTCCTTCAATTTCCGTCCAACTACGCAACACTTTTTTTAAGTTGATGCCAGACAAAGAAAAATGGCCATCTTTCTGCAGGGCCCTGCTCGCGAGGAGAAAGTTGAATTTAATCGAAGCCTTTCCGTGTCGATAATAAAGACAGTAATAAATCTAATTTCATTCGCACAGAACTTCACGAAGAACTTATTTCTTTCTCTTCTTCTGATTTTCCAGGATTCCTGATTTTTTTACCCGTTCGATTTTCTTCAACAATGATGGGAAGATGCAGGAATGATCATGATTGTTCGTATTTTGTGGGGTTTTCAGTTTTGGCTAATTTTTCTTGAAATAATTGCGTGATGATGAGGTAACAAACTATGATTGAGCGTCATGTCAGCGTCTTATCTCGTGTCGCATAACCCATTTAGCAAATATGTAATTTAAATAAATTTTCAAAATAGAAATTAAATTAAACTTAAATATTTTAGTTTCCAAATTGCAGCTCTTTTCCAAGTTGTTCATTACATTTTACTAATCTTTATCGAATATATAATTATCAGCATGCCATATCTGATTCAAATCCAATAGGTTTATAAAATTTTAATATATTTCAAAATCGGCGTAGAGTTTTGAAAATTTTTAATCAAAAATATAATAGTACTCAGAATCTCTTGTTTCAAATTGGGCTTCATTTAGCACGTATTCATTTTATAGATAAACTTGCTGAACGAAAATATGCCGATTTGCGAATTAAGATTTCATACTTTTCCACCGTAAAGTAAAATTACGGCAAAACCTGGAAATTTATACGTCATATTAGTCAGAAACTTGATTTCCTGCAGCCAAGAGATTCTAAGAATCAAATTAATTAAATAATTTCTGAACTATTTAAACAATTTAAGACCAACTCGTCCATACTTTTTAGTTTGCACCAATGATAAATACAAGTTATATTCCATCAAATTTCAACCCTGGCTTGTTTGTCGAGTGGTCTCTGTCTGGGATTGTGCAATTTTGCAAATAATGCTGGGATTAGAACTCATAACTAATTCTGAGTTTGGTGTTTGAACAGTTTGCCTTGGTTTAAAACTCAGCATCATAACCTCAGATGGTATTATCCTACACTAATTCCTATCCGACCCTAATATCACCTTACCCTTTGGAAGGCCCTACATGACCGAGATTCCGGTATAAATAGCGTAAGTAATAATAAAAATATAGAAACATATCCCACACATAGAGCAAAAAACAAGCCAAATTTTTCGCCCAAGTTGTCCATAATAATTCAAAGTTCGTGAAGAAGTCATCCAAAAATAAATTTCCTTTAATTGATCAAATTTTGAAATCGTCAAAGATAATTGTGATGCCGGCCAAGTTTCCGAACTAATTTTAGCCACAAAAGTAGTAAGTTTCGTCTTTTTGCAGGTTAAAAATTAAATCAGCTCAAATTAGATTGCAAATTTTTGTAAACTTGCACAGATCAAGAGCGTATTCTAATTTGATAAAATTTTTTAATACCTTACGGATGTTACAAGTTGATGATGAATACGTGAATTGCCTCATTGCGTTTTTACGCGAGATTTAGATGAAACATATAAAAATTGGCAAATTACAGGTAGAAAAATCTAATTAGATTATTGGAAAGAAGCATCCTTGTTTAAAATGTCTTGAATTTTTAGTTGCAATATATTTTTTTCACAACCTTGCCAACCACTCCTCGTACCATCACGATGACCATTTTGCACACGGGCGCGTGCAGATTATAAAGCACGCCAAACTTTCAATTTCCATCGCAGTGTGTCGACAAGATCGCCTTGCAATACGCGACCACCCCCACCAGGTCACCCCTGAGCTCGTCACTTCCACCCTGTCGTACAAAAATCAGCGAACAATTTTCATACTTGACCGAACTAGTGAACATGTCTTAAAAAAATGGCAATGGGAGTGGTCGATGGAACCACGATGAATCAACAATGCAAAAAAATCCGCAACAGCATTTTACATTGATTGACAAAGTGTAAATAGTTTTCTGCATGTTTTGCAAATTTGGCAAAAGTTGGAAAATAAACAGGAATATCATATTAGTCAGAAACATAGAACAAGATATGCATAACGCGTCCATATTTTTTACTTGCTCCATATGGCATAAATACAAGTAAAACTCCATACACTTTCACCCCTGGCTTGTTGGTCGAGTGGTCTCTGTCTGGGATTGTGGGTTTTTGCAAATAATGCTGGGATTCGAACTAATTCTGAATTTGGTGTTTCAGTACAGCAGTTACAGTTAGTAAGCCAGGACCTGGCGTTAGGATCCCAATGTGGAAATATCGTCAGCCATTGACGAGTTCTAAAACCCAAGGTTTTATTCTACGTTAGTTGTCTTAAATTGAGTGTTATGTTATGTTTAGTGTTGAACGTACCCTGTGGAAGGCCCTTTATCACCGTCGGTGACCGAGATTCCGGTAAATAGATAGCGTAAGTAATAAAATAAAATTGAAATCTCAGACAGGGAGCAGAAAAACAAGCCAAATTTTTTGCCCATCACAATTTCAAGTTCCATGAAAAAGTTTTGCAATATAAAAGTAAAATTGAGTTAACTAATCTTATTTAATTTAATCCTTCGCCTTAATTAATGATTCCACTGATCGCGAAGACAAGTTCGAAATTGCTGACTATAAGTAGATATGATGCCACCCAAATTGACCAAGTTTCCTAGCAAATTTTATAAGAGTGAAATTGCAAATAAATGGATGAAGTTTAAACCGAATAAAAATGAAAACAGGATAGAATTGTGAGACCAAAGAATGTAACAGTTATTTATTTACAAAACATTGCATAAAAATTGTTAATAAAATACAATTTGCAACTAATTAATGATTGTTATAATTAATTTAATGCTTGATATCATTAAAAATTAACACGTCGCAATCTGTATTTACATTGATATATAGACCTAAATAAAATGTAGTGTTTCACTTCTACACGAATTTCAATGACCTGAACCCTTAATCCAGCAGTAGTTAACCAACCTCAAATTTAATTATTAAATAATTAATCAATTAATTAATCAACCAGTTAATTCCCCTCCAAATTAAACCTAACCGTTCAGCTCTGCCATAAACTCTTCCGCAATGGTTGCCTTCCTCTGTTTCTTTGTGAGTCTCGAGTTGTAAAAGTCGGCCTTGGTCTCGACGATTTTTCCGATTTGGAAGTGTTTGGGGTGGGCGGCGAGGGAGGAGTTGCGTTTGTAGAAGGACTTCGTGTCCAGCGCCCCCCGCAGCTTCATCGCCGCCAGGTCGTTCTTCCTCTCCTCCGTCATTTCGGGGGCCTTCATGCCGAACCAGAGCGGCCCTTTCGTCGCGGCGCGGGCCTTTTTCTTGGCGGCGGCGACCCTTCTGCGACCGAGGAGCGGGGTGGGGTCGGACGTGGGGTTGTCGAGCAGGGACAGTTTGCAAGAGGGGGACGAGTACAAGGCGGAAGTGGAACGAGACGATAATTTCCTGCTGCTGCTGCTGCTGCAAATAACAAAACAGAGGAACATTAAATTAATTTACGCTGCAATTTCATTTCATTTTTAATTTGTAAATGTTCATGGATGGAATTTAAGATCAAATTGGGTTTCTAATTTTTGTAGTGGTGAATAATTTCAAAATTGGAATTTGTGGGGTGGATAATTTTTAGGAACACATTTTTATACTTGTTGAGAAGTGGAACATTTAACATTTTTGTAGTCATTTATCTGCTAATTTGGTACCCTTATTAACCGGCCCCCGGGTTTTAAAAATGTGTGTGGCCGTCAATAACACAGAAATAGTAATTAAGTAATATTACAGAAACTGGTTAGTAGTAATTATTTACCTCGTTAAATTTAAAAGTTCAGGATCAATTTTGGGTATAAAATTAGAACGAGTTTTCCTTTGAACAACAATTCTCTCAGGATCCGACCGTTTCTTCTGGACCGTGTCTGACTTGTTCTTCTTTAGGTGGCTGTTATCGTGGCTAAATTTCAATTAAAATTAGAACAAGGTTGTAAATAATTTAATTAGGAAATCAGTATAAAATAATTTTTAGCACAATTTTAATTTGTCCCAACTTACGAGATCATCTTGAGCTCCTGAACTTTCATGTTGACACTTTCACTAAATGTTCTTGAAAATCTTGGTATCACAAAAATTCGATAATTATGCACTATTTAATTGTAGAAATTTAGTAGCAACATTATTTCTTAAAAATAGAGATGAAACTGAAAAATCCAACACATGGAAATCTGAGCGAGTTTGATATTCGCGGATGGCAAAGTCTCACCACGTGCTGAGGATGAATTCGTGCTTACATTTTTACATACAACGCTTATGAAATGAAAATGTAGCAATTTTTACATAAGTAAACCACTCTAAATTTCTTTTTAATTGTTGTAGACTAAAAAAATTACATGTAGCAAACTGTTTCCCGAATCCCAAATATTTTACGTGCTTGAAATCGCTAATTAAATTGAAATGCGAAAGTGTAACGTCCAATTAAAATTTGTTATGTAAATTGCCATGTTCATTGAAGAAACAGGTTCACCTCCAGTGACTCGAAATACTTCAAATCGAAATTACAAAATGTTACGAAATTTGTTGAAATATTTATGAGATTAGAATAAATTGCATCCATTAAATACGAATTTTCCCAAATGCAATATGCAAATGTTGTTCCTGTATCTTTTCCATATACCACTTATATTTCTCTCTCACTCTTATAAAGAGAAAAACTTGACAAAACTGCCGAGTCATTTCCATATAATTTAACAATGATTTATGTATTTGTATGCATGCCAAAAATATTGCAGTTTTAAGAAACATCGATTCCTATGATTTTTTCCTAAATGACAATTGTTTCGAAAACAATTAAATTTCTTAAATAAATAAATAGTTTTTCAGAAACTGCAAATAAAAAACCCAATTTCCTGATTTCCGATTAAATTTCTAAAAACTTTTAGAAGTTAAATTGTATGTCAATTTTAAAATTTTGATATGAATCCAACGTTTGTTTGAAACTGATTTTCATGAAGGTTGTGACTTCAGTGAGAATTTTTTAGAATTAAAATTAGTTGAAAGTGTAATTACTACAATAAATATTATTGATCAGGCGATTTGGTAAAATTTCTGGCTTCAGCAAATGGACATTTTTTCATATAGCAAAATTACGTCGCAAAATTACGTCGCAAAATTACGTCGCAAAATTACGTCGCAAAATTACGTCGCAAAATTACGTCGCAAAATTACGTCGCAAAATTACGTCGCAAAATTACGTCGCAAAATTACGTCGCAAAATTACGTCGCAAAATTACGTCGCAAAATTACGTCGCAAAATTACGTCGCAAAATTACGTCGCAAAATTACGTCGCAAAATTACGTCGCAAAATTACGTCGCAAAATTACGTCGCAAAATTACGTCGCAAAATTACGTCGCAAAATTACGTCGCAAAATTACGTCGCAAAATTACGTCGCAAAATTACGTCGCAAAATTACGTCGCAAAATTACGTCGCAAAATTACGTCGCAAAATTACGTCGCAAAATTACGTCGCAAAATTACGTCGCAAAATTAATTCACATACCTTTTGATAAATGAATTTGTATGCGAAATATTTAGAATGTCAAGTATTGGGATTTGTGAATTACAAAAATCTGTAGTATTGTCACGCCTGTCATAATTGTACAGTTTTGAGTTATTAACTAATTTTTAGGTAAGCGTTTCTCCATTGTAAAAATGGATCATGAAAATATGACTACACAAAGTGTATTTTTGTAAATATTTTTTAATAATTTTTTTTTTTTTTAATTTCATATTTTTTATCTATCTGTTTATCAAAACGCTGTGTACGGTCTTGTCGCAATCCATTCCTTGATTCCTGGCAGATTTAAAATTTTCTTTCGATGGTCATCCAACTCGGGATAGTCGGACATGGTGGAAAATTCGACAAAGCCGGTGAGCAAGTCAACCATGTAGGCGACGTAAATGTCAGCACACGTGACCCCCTCGCCAACCAAGAAGCCTGTCCCGTTTCTTTTCAGGATCCCATTAAACTTTGGCCAGGCCTTGGGGAACGTATTTTCGACCACGTTTTTCTTGATGGCAGCTTTTTTTGCGGGATCAGATTCGCGAAACATTTGCAATACGTCTGGAAGAAAAAATTTTACAGATTCGGAAACCAGGGTTTCCAAACCGGTTAGGTTTTCGATTTACATGAAAATCGGTTTTAAATATTAACAAAAAAGGCACTTAGACCCTGTTACCAGAGTATTTTGTATAAAAAACGGTCTATCACACTCAAAAATCGGGTTTCGATTGTTTCGGGATCACTAAATATTTACAGTATCTTGTTTTTCATGTAAGAATTAATTGTTCTGACATATATTTATTTTCAAATTAATGCCTAAAGTTTGTTATATGCACTTTCAATTTTCCTAGATAATATTTACAAAATCTGGAATAAAACCCGTTTCGAAAACTGGGTTTCGGGAAAACTGAAAACCGGTTTTATGAAAATTTTAAAATCCGAAAAAATCAAAACCGGTTTTTCATAATTTTTTGGATTTGACTGCCCTACTTTCAACACGAACCTAAACGAACTTCATCCATGGCGTCGATGTACTCGTTGCACTTGGCGGTTTCGAACTCGTCCGCCCCCACGAGTCCAAACTCTCGCGCCAAATAGCGGAAAATGGTCAAGCACTGCGAAAGTTGGTGCTTCCCATCCACCACCAAAACGGGCAACAGGTTCCAAGGCATTTCTGAAATTGATTGTGAAATTTGTGAAAATAGTGGCTGTTCAGTTTTGGCAAACTTCTTAAAAATCGTTAATTCAGTCGGAACCACAAAAAACGCGTAATCGTTGCAAATGGTTGAAAATTTTGAAAAGTTGAAAACAAAACTGATAAGCTTTTAGTTTTAATTCGTATGTTTTTATTGTTTTTATTTCTCAAATTCTAAATTGTAATTAAGTTCAAACACATTTACTTGCCAAAAGTAAAAGAAGGTCGTGAAACATGAAATACGCGAGCGCCAATGTACGATTTTCTTAAGAGTTGACTATATTTTATGTTAAACCAATCCTCATAAATCACATAGTGGCGAAACTGATGAACTCGGTGGGGTAAAAAGTTCACAAGTTTCGGTGGGAATTTTGAATTTTTTGCAAAAAACTGCAAATATCATCTGGCATTGTTTATGTTTTTAGTGGTTTCCAGTGGGAAGAGTATGTGTGGTGGTGGCTTCCCACCACGCATACTCTATGACAAGTTGAGACGAATCATGAAAAAATGCAAAATCTTGACCTGGTCATTCTAATTCCGAGATTAAATGTGCACTCAAAAATGTGGAATTTGTTGAATTACAACTAGTGATAGTTGCGCAACAAGAAAATAAGGCCCTTTGAGGAATTGATATGCTACTTTTATTTATATTAAATGCCGAAAATCAATTTCCATCAAAATTTTGTTTTTCTCGAGATTAATTGATTAATATAAATAAAAGTAGCATATCAATTCCTCAAAGGGCCTTATTTTCTTGTTGCGCAACTATCACTAGTTGTAATTCAACAAATTCCACATTTTTGAGTGCACATTTAATCTCGGTATAAGAATGACAAGGTAAAAAAGCTGTGCAAAAAATTATGCATGTTGTCAACATACGGAAAAATATTGAGCGAGGGACTGTATTGGCTGATAGAGCGGCCAGAGCAAACTATAATGCCCCGTTAATTCCTTCCAGCGTTTTTAACACGTTAGGTTCGTCACATGGAGAAAACAAATATTTGTGGTAATCTTTTTAGCGTTTGAAGGGTTTAAAACATGATAAGTACTCTGTGACACCACATTTTATGTAAGCAAGTCGTAATTTTTGGCATGTTTAATACTTCCTTCAAATTGAGCAAAATTTGTAAATTCATTAATTTACCAAATTATGAAACAAGTCGTGAAACTTACCCGATTTCATTTTGGCCCATTCCTCATTGGAAACTCTGATATCTTCAAATTCAACGTTGGCATAGTGGAACAAAAGCCGAATCGGTTCTCCGACAGCCTTCATGGGAAAATATAAAAATTTGTATTTTTGGGACATTTTTTTAATGTTAAGAAGTTCTGATTCTTTTTATCTGATTTTTTATTGTTTCCTGTTCACGAGTAGAATGATGACTGTGTAACTGTTGGAACGGGACAAGTACTTATTGTGTTAATAAGCAATCAGATTAAACGAATTCCACGGGTCATGTCATAGGCGTACACACATCAAAATATGTAAAACCTGGAGAATTAACGCTGCATGGGCAAGTTTTTGCAAATGTTGCCAGAAATTTCGTTATTGTTAGTATAAAAAATTATACGAGATTTTTATTTGCTCCATAATATATTACTCCAGAATAGTATAATACTTTAGTCCAAAAACACATATTTAGAGTACAATGTTGCATCAATTCTTTAACCAATTTTGAAACGGGAATTTTGAAACTCTCCATGAAATTATGTAGAAAAATTGCTCAATATAATTTGAAAGATTTACAAAGTTTCTAGAAATATGTACTTCTATGTTTTTGAAATTTTCCGATTTTTCCACTTTTTTCCCCAAATTCTAAAAATTATTGAATAATGACGTGAGTAACTCTATTTATTATTAGTAAAACATGATATTGTTTAACTTGTTCTTTTTTTATCAAATCATTGAAGAGCTTATCGAGAATCTAAATAACTGGTATTTTCTAGTTAATCTCAATTGGAATTATCAAATCAAATGATTAAATGTGTAATTTGGTAGTTGTTCAGCACTACATTTTGATCAGGAGATTATTTTTGTGCCTTGGGAACCTTGCAGAAAGGGTGTGATCGAATTTCAGTATGCACATTCTCAGAAATGAGAAAACTGGTATTAAATCATTACTGACCAGAGGCAGAGACCATGTGACTAACATACTGTGTGACTGTACTGTACTGTATGTAACTCTATGTGCCCACTGGTAATAACGGGCATTACCGTTCGGTAGGGACCGGTAATGAGAAATTTGCCACTTAGGAACAAACCACCACCAAACCGGGAGGAAGTTATTGCAAAATCAGTACCAGTTCGGCGTATAAATGTGACTCTACCAGATTTTCAACAGTGTTTGCACTTTCGCTTCTAATTTATATTGGAAATCAAAGCATTTCACTAAAATTGTATCGCATCAACGCCATTCTAAAGTTATAAAGGTTCTTGATGTATTTTTCAAGTGTGATTTAGATTCTGGAGGAGTATTCCGGTTGCATGTAGGTTCATTTTACAAATTAATTGTGGTCTATCCATCCCTCACCGTAATCACATTTTGTCCTAATTTATGCGTAAAATTTGGTGAACATTCATCCCCCCCCCCAGAATAAAAAATGCGTCTATCATTCCTTTGCAGGGTTCCCTTATACCTGGAAAGTGTGTCTCATATTGCAGAAAACCGTATGACTGATCGCTTCTACATTTCTTATTCACTGTCGATTTTTATGTTTCAACAGTTCCCATAATTCATTCAATTTTCTCAATCGCTTCGTTCCCTGGGCTGGCAGAGATTCTGCTATGCAATGATTGAGACTGGATTGGATTTTCCTGCAGGACTGGGCGTACAAAATGTAATCAAAATTTACAAGATTTTGATCCCAATTTGCATATGTCCCATTACTTTGATTATTTTTGTAGCGGACGCCTCGACCCCTGTAAAATTGATGACACATGCTTTGTGCAGGGTCCCCTTCGAGATGATGATTTGTTGGAGAATGGATCCATTCATCATATTTTGGTTGGCTCGTGGTCCACTTTCACCCTGATGTATGAATACCTTCGTGGTCATGATGAAGACAGGAGGACTTCATTTACTATCATGGCTGCGAGGAATTCGAAATGTTTTGCAATGCCGAGATATATAAAACCAGGTTGGAGGAATAGAGGTGGGGATTTTTTGATCGATTTCGAATTTTAGGCCATGTTTGATGTTACACAGTAAATTGAAACCATATCTAAAATTTGTGTTTAAAGTTTTGTTCATGAATTTTAAATAAATATTTTGGCGAAAATAAAGTAAATCGTAGTCAGAATAGCATTAAGAATTGTCTTCAGTTTTGTAAACCGGTTCGTTTTTCTCCGTTTTATTACGCGCAACATCCCATGTTCACATTGTTCAGCGTGGTATCGTCACTGTCACCTTTGCAAAAGGCGAGTTAATCAAACCAATAATATCAATATGGCGAAATATTAAAAAATAAATAATTTCCAACAACATACTTGGCCCTTCAACTTGCGTCTGAATTCCACAAATCCTAAGTCCTCGTGGACAAGTGATCGCCCCAGTCCAATCCCCTACATAAGATTATATATAATTGGTAAAGTGGTACATTACCATCAAAAATGCTTATCACCATGATACGTGTTCAAAAACAAAATTGTCATTCAAAAGTCGATTGACGACTTTTCATTCATTCACATTCAGTCATTGTCCTTCAAACTCATTTCACTTTACTTCACTTCATCAGACTTCATTTCTTACTTCGCCCATGCAAAGCGAGAAATGAAGTCTGAATGAATGAATATTAAGCATTGGGTGAAAAATGAAAGGAGTAAGAAATTATTTCATGTGCGGTCATTCATCTGAAATGACGGAATCCTTCAATCATTTTCATTCAAACGATATATAAGAAATTCATTTTCATTCACGATCATCCACAATGATAATCGGTCAAATGAATGAAAGTGAACAGGCATGTATGATTCTCCATCATAATCAAAAATCCACCAAGAACTGACCCCAATCCCTTCCAGCTCCTTCCAAAACGCTCAACCCTGAGCAATATAGTTTCAAATTGTTTGCCGCCGTGTCATCCGTGCTAAAACCTTGATCCTCTTCCGACCTGAGCTCGAATCCCACCGCAAATCCGGGATCGGGACATTCCAGCAGCCCAGTGAACGAGCCGTGATGTCCCATGAGCGACGAAATCGTGGTGAATTGTGTCATGGACGCGTTTCTCGCGGGACGTTTGGCCGTGGGGTTAATGCACAACAATTCGATGCCGTTGAGGGCGCTGTCATCACCGAAAAATCCTTGGTCTGAATGAACCTTTAGTCGAAATCCGTACACGTACGCACCCGGGGAACAGGTCTCCATGCCTATTTTTGGTGTAATTAGCTTAATTACTGTTCATCCGAAAAAAATGTGGCCTTCGCCGAGACAATTTTCTCTAAAGGTTACCTGGCAGCTATCATAATTTTTAAGGAATATCTTTTGAATTTGCCACTGAAATAAATTGATGTAATTGATAAAATAATAAAAATAGACAAATTCCGCCAGGTAATTTTTCAGAATTTCTAGGGACAAATTTTTCTCCAATGAACAGTACTGTTGGATCTGTGGAGAGAGTTGGAATCCATCGCCGATTTACACTATGTGCGGAATCGTAGAAGGTTATCCTATTATTTAATACGAATTTCTTTTATTTTGGCGTAAAAATCATTCAATTGTGTGTCTGAAATTTGGGAAATTGAATGGTTTTCACGCTAAAATAAAAGAAATTCGTATTACATAATTGGATAACCTTATGCGATTCCGCACATAATGTAAATCGGCGATGGATTCCAACTCTCTCCACAGATCCAACAGTAATTTGATAAAGAGTTGGAATAAATACCTCCCCAAACTCCCCAGTCTGTGCGCCGGTGACCCTCCAGGATAAAATCCTGGGCTGAGGCGATCATCGTAACGGAGGCAAGAACCAGAAACAAAAGTACAGCCATTATTTCAATCAGTGTTTGAAACAATCTGCAAACAAAAAAGTGATAAAATAATTCAGCTGGTTCACTCCTGTTGTGCTTGACCTCGACTGATCCTGAGTGCACCACTGAATGCAAATGCATTTCAAGTTTAAAATTTCTTTATTTAGCAGCCAACCAAAATTAGCAAATTCCGCGTAATTGTTCGTTATCAGTGACAGCCGACGTATGTAATAGGCTTATGCAACCCAACAATAGCCCTGATATGGTGTGATTGATGATGATGGTGACATTTTCTGCAAATTTTCGACAAGTTGCATCCCATAATAAAATTATGTAAGTAATAGAGCACAGTTTGCATAATCTGTCCATGGTCTTATCATCCATTTTATTCGCTAATAATCGCAGTGATACTAATAGTGTATGTACACTCTTAGAAATCCAGTATTAAAATAATACCAAGCGGTATGACTTTACCAAAGTGGTTAATGTCTGCCTTTATTAATTACTGTCCCTGCTGCACCTCCACGGATGGTGAAAAATTGAAAGGAATTAGTGAATAATAATGGGTGCAAAATATTTTTCCCAATTTATGATCTCAGCGAAATACTTGCATCGATATGATTTAGACGAACTTAAGAGTGGATTTGAGAAATACAATTTGACTAATATATTTTGGAGCAACCTACATACATATTTTTCGTGTATAAATAAAATAGCAATATTCAGTTGCCAAAAAGTGTGATTACGTGCAAGGATACGATTCTCCCAGCCCACGGAAAATGTCAGCCTTTGCTAATATGTAATCGAACAAATAAGTATATATTTTAAACTGATGTACTCGGAGAAAGAATTACAAGTTTTGCACAATGGACTACCTTGTTTTAAAAATAATCGGTTTTGTCACGTAACCACGGAGTCATATACTAGTATGTGACTTTAAAGGGCACGGTGTCGTGAGGCTTCTTTCTTTTTTTTGAAGCTAGAGACAAGTTGGACTTAAGATGAAATGGTTTAGGTAACGAGTAAAACATTAGTCGGAATGTGGTGTGGCGTAACAGCACGAAGCGGTCTAATTACTTATGTCTCAGGACATGGACTTGTCAAGAAGGAGAAACCCGATGAAAATGGATAATTTCATGGCTATTCTGGATACATACCCTGGAAACCAAATGGGGTCAACCAAAGGCGACGAATCTTCCCAAGAAATTTGTACAACACTTTTTTTTATTATTTGTGGGCTGCTGTGGGGGCTTTTTTATGCTTCTCGAAATTTTGTATTGCAATCGGAAATAGTTGTCTATTAAGTTTGATCATGGCGTGTACATATTTATTTACTACTTATTGTTACGTTACTGTCGTACATATTATAGTGTGTACGTGATATGATTATTTTATGCATGTTCATACCAGCACTATCTTTAACCAATTGTCTCAGTAATTATGCTCATCAAAAATTACAATTACATTACAATTATAAGGCATATTAGGCGGGGTGACGAATTCAGGAGTTTTAATAAAACTCGAAAAACTGAAAGATCCAAAATTTACAATCGCATTTCGTTGGGAAATATTTAAATTTTCGATAAGAAAATGTTCGACTTAACCATTTAATCTGTGAAAGTGGCATATGTCGCTTTGGTGACTTGTCCATAATTCGTGACAAAGGCATATGTCATCGCCAAAATCCGCTCCATAACCCGTGACGATGACATATGTTGCCACAGAAAACCTTACCTTAATTCGTGACGTAGACGTTTGTTTTTAGCCCGAACCAGGGCTTATGTGATTGTCATGTCCGTCCGTCCGTCTGTCTTTCGATAACTCTGGAACGAGTTGGCCGATTCACTTGAAATTTTTACCAGATACATATTGGACAAAGTTAGGAACCGAGTTCGAAGATGGACAAAATCGGTCTACTGGTTGACCCGTAGGAGTCATCTGGGTGGGTGGGGTATTACGCACCAAAAATTTCGAAATTGTCGTAGAAAGCTGGAATTTGGCGCAGAGGTAGTAAATGGGTCCTAAAGGAAGAATATGAACTCAAATTGGTAAAATTTTCATCTGGAAGGGTCCTATTTGGTGACCCATACTAATTTTTCAAAATCGTCATACCGTGCTGAAATTTGGCATTTAGTTTTCTTATGGCTCTTCATGGAAGAGTTTACATTGGAATCTGAAAAATTTTCATCTGGAAGGACCCTATGGGGTGACCCCTACCAATTTTCAGGAATTAACATGGAAAGCTGAAATTAGGACCAGAGATCCTTACTGCCTTCTCATGAAATAATTTGGGAAGTTAAATATGAACAAAATTGGCCAGAGGGACACTAGGGGGTGGTCCACACCGATTTCTAAAAATTGATATAATCAGCTGAAATTTAGTATGGAGTAGAAAAATAACTTACGATTAGCATTTACCCCATAGGGTACGTCAAGATAAAAATCTATTCAACTCCACGTCATATTCTTCCATTGCAAGTCATTATTAGCTTTCATACAAATTTTGAATTTTCGTCACCCTCGACCCTCCACACCCATATGACCCCCACCGGTCAACCACTTGATCGATTTGACCCATCTTCGAACTTAACTCCTCATTTGACCCATACTACATGTGTGTAAAATTTCAAGTCGATCGGATTAGTTTTACGGCAGTTATCGCAAACCAGACAGACAGACAGACGGACATGACGGGTACATAAGCCCTGACTCGGGCTAAAACGGGGGTTTCTTATGAAGTTAGATTTAGCCATGGCACAAAGTTGCATGGATGAAGTGTACATAAGCCCTGGGTCGGGGTAAAAATTAAAAATTTTTGTGAAAAAGTTGTCACGAAGTAAGATATTTGACTGGAATTTTTGGTTACAAATAATGATCCCTTAGAGATAAAGCTCCCTCACGAATTAAGGTAACTCTACTGTCGCCTGGTGACACGAATTATGGACATCGTAACTTTTACTTGTCCTCTTTAAATGGAACATTTACTTGGCATAGAAGAAATCCTTAAAATTGCAACAGATTTTAAGCATGCTGAAACTCAATGACGTCCAAGAAACGAAAATTGTCTTCCTTCCGCACCATGACCACGATTTTTCAGGACGAGTTTTGTGTCCCTCTCGAGTTAAACCACTTCTTATAAAACGACAATAATGTTCGCGAATCGCGACGAATTAAAGGGTTAAATAAAAAATGTCATGCTATATATGTTTGTTCCCTCAAGCTTATGCATTATTTTAATACTTAAAAGTCTCACATTCTGGTTCCACCAGTCTGGCATGGGACGGTGCGGGCAGAAGTGGAACTCTAATGTCCACCCCAATACCATGAATTTATGTAGATCAACAATTTCATAACTACTTTTGTAATCGAACTAGAAGTATCTACGGCACCAAATTATTTACTTACATATTCCGTATAATTTTGTATGTCACTCTACCTCCTTCAAAATGATTAAAGCAAGTTTACCCACAATTTATATTAGTTTAATATTAATTAATAGAACATTTACAAATTTGGACCTTACTAAAACAAATGTTGAATTAGATTTGCATGTAGTATCGAAGAATAATAACTCACAAGAAAATACGTCTCCAATTAGCATAACTCTTAACACCAATTCTCCCATTGCAAGATACGTTCTTCCTCACAATTATAATAATACCTTACAATTTAGAATCCCATTGAATTTTCCTCGCCTTAGAAATATTACTTTCACTCTTTGGATCCTATCTCAACCTGCAATTGGTGACACTGTAGGGCTAATTAATAGTACAGGATCTGGATATAGAGAAAACGTCATTTTTCTCATAATTATACAAAACTTGGATCAACCAAATCTCAATCAGTCATTCAAACTTTTTTGGTACTCGGCAAAAATAATTTTCACATTTTTCACACAACCTTTTCAAAACAGATCGACTTATTTCGTTTGTAATTATTGCCAACAAAATCCAAACATTTTAGAACCAATACAATTAAGCGAAAGCTTTCTCTTTAACGCGCAAACTGAAAGTAAACAATTTCCTAAAGTGTTGGCAGCAATGAGAGGAACCCCAGATGAGTTTTGCGACAAATTTACTTGCGAAGCGACATTTCGTATCGGTGGCGAAACAAATTTTTAATTTTTCCCTATTTTTCTTTGTATACCAACATGGTGATGGAATGGACGATGTCAAGAATAAAAGTAACTCGCACTCGATTTACATTGTTAGAGAAAGTTACTCGGAATGGCACAGAAAGGTGGGTGTGAATTATGCACCTTACATCGTAGACACGGAAGATTATTATTTACTTTATTGTGAAAATGAGTGGAGAACAATGGGATCTTCGTATTCACATTGGACGAATCCTATCGATTTGACCACCTGGATCTTGGTCATTTTCACTGCTGGATTTGTGGCCCTTGTAGGAGCTCGGTTTAAGATGAGAGTAACTTTCATGCCATTTCATTACCATTGGAGGCCTCCCATCCCAACGTATGCTCATAGGTTTTGTCCAAACTAGTGTCAATCGATCACAAATTTAATTAATCTGAAATTTTCGTAAGACACGGTCTCCCAATAGGGGGGAAAAGGTACCTTGCGGTTGACAAATTTTACACTATACTAATTTACTGCGCACTTTCTCATCTTCACTCTTCGGATGCAAATATGTATTTCTGCCAAACCTGACTATTGGCAGATCGTGCCTTTGTAAATTTCATAATAATTAAATTTATGATTGATTTATACTACCGATAATTTGGTTAAAATCGGAGATCATGCGCTGGGAGACCTCCATCATAAATGAAAGGTATAATTATTTTATTAAAATTTTCTCATTTAGGATCTCACCCTACGAGTTTTGGACTCGCTGGCAATAATACTTCGTAATCCGATGGGAAATATGGAGAGATTTTACATACTACACGTTTTACTAACCTTATGCTTCCTCTGTATTAGTTTGCAATACGAGAGTGTGTTAACGAGTCAAATAACGATCCCAGCACCACCTTTAGTGGCGAAGGATTTGAAAGAATTGATTTCGGGGAAAGGGTTTAAAATGTTATTTCCTGTCGTTGATAAAAAGGATCTCAAACTTTACGACCTGACCGAGTTTAAGAGTGGATTTGAAAAATATGGAATACAAGATTTTTATCCAAATATCCAAGTGATATATTTATGCATGTCATATTTTGTATGCACATAAGTGATGGTTGAAAATAACTATTGTTGAATTTTCATAGGGGCAAGATTCTAAACGAGCAAGTAAAATGGATTGTCTAGCAAATAAGACAAACAAGCTTGCGACGGATATTCCTTCTTCGAATAAAGCAATGACAATCTTAGATTTTGGAATTGCCTCATTCAAAAATGATCGGCATTGCCATTTTGCCATAGAACCTTTCTTCAAGCGACATAATTCTATGCAGATACGGGGATACAGATTTTGGAGTTTTATTAGGTTGTTTCACTTATTCAGGGAAGTTGGGCTAGAAGGGATGTGGGTGAAGTGAGTTAAATAAAGAAATATATTTGTTCTATATTAATTACTATGAAAAAAATTACTAATTCTCTTCACAGAAATTACAAGTGGTATGCCAAGTTTTGGAGTATGCGAAGATTCATGAAATTGAACCAATCGGCCCTTGTTTTCGCAAAATATTCGAAGGACCACTGGGCACCTCATAAAGCTATGGAGCTAACGGATAAATTTGTACAAATTTTTGCAATTTGCGGAGTCATTGCAAGTTGTGGAATTTTTTGTTGGATTTGGGAAATATTTTATGGGAATCATTTGACGATAAGGAATATAAGGAAGTTTTTAGGATAAAAGTTAATTAGCGATTTTATGCGTACTTAATTATTTAATTGGCTAAAGATAAATATAAATTGTAACAAAAGAAATTTTGTTTAAAAAAAGCAGGATACAAAACGTAATAAAACTTGCTGTGCTGGATATTTTATATGTATTTTAGCGACCCTGTTACTTAGATTTGTATGACTTGAGTTTTTAGGTTATTAATCTACTTAAAAGCGTCAAAATGTAACAATTTTTAATTGTAGTTATGTAACTTGATACTTCTCATAGTATGTACACCTCGTATTGTTGCTTGATTTGATAAATATTTCCATAAACTTTAAACAACTAAGAAGATAAATAAATCAGGTCACTAATTTTTCTATTGAAATTTTGTAATACAATTTTTTAAAAACTTGAGCTACAAAGATTCGACTAACCTTGTTCTTCATTTTAGTTTTTACCGGATAAAACCGGAGCACTACTCACCCGAAAATAACGGAAGGAAGGAGGGTTTATATCCCGAAAAAATGTGAAAAATGAATGTGAAAATGAAGATTTCTTTTTACAAATAGAATGAATTAATCAGAGTGAAAGTTGACGAGATTTTTTAATATAATGTTTTCGTTCTGGGAAACGGATGATGTTATATACTGATTCACAATCTATTGTTTCTGGCTGAAGTGAAACCTGGCTCAGACCTTATTCATCATCAAAAACTAAATAAAGTCAGATTTACGAATTTCATGTAAAATACAGGTTAAAATTCTTAACCTGTATTAACCTTTTATAATTTGAAATGCGAATGAATAAGTTGCCAAATTTTTTATCTAGTAAGCTCTCTTAAGCCTGCTCCAGGTATGACATCATGCGATTATTGCAATGCACTGGCTGATTACTTGAGTTTATCACAACCGAAATTAGAAATTTTGACCAATTATAATATATACATGAAAATTTATCCAGGACAAATATAATGAAATTATGTAACCCAAGGTTGGTACTTCATCTAAATTATCAGCATGATAACTACAAATTTCAGATAATTGCAGAATCGGATTGGAAGCGTAACATAAAATTTGAGGCAGTTTTAAAGAATAATATTTTGAAAACTTTCAATCTTCTGTTCGCTGGTCCTTAAATTATGAATAAAAAGGCTTTTCATGACTATCACCCTGTGATGATTTATTACCAAATTGTGAAAATGCAAGTTAGATAAAAGTCTGAAAAAATTGTGTTTATTTTTTTTACCCTAGTGAACTGCAACTTGGTCGTCTGAAAACAAAAAATGCTGCACGTGACGATAAGTGGGACACATCTACGGATAATTTAATTGCAGATAAGATGCAATTTCAGCGTCTTCGTTGCCTCAAATGAGTATAGGAAATGTCGTTAATTTGAAAAGACTTATTCATAAATCGGGGTCAAAAAATTCATATCACACTTTTTCATTAGTACCCGCATTTGTAAACTTTTCAATATTTTCTTCTGCATTTTTCATTCGTGAGGCACATGCTTATTTGTTGTTTATGTTAGTCATTACTCAATCAAATTCGTTTAAGTTTGATAAATACGTTAAGGAAATATAAACGCCAGAATTTACTCGGAATTAAATTTTGAGGTGAAAATATTTAATACAGAAATGTACAATGAAATTCTGAAGCTTTCGGACTCCAACGATTTTGATGTGTCATATCTGGTCTAAAAATTTGCGTAATTCTAAGTAGAATAATAATCCGTACAAGCAGCCAATTTTAGATTGCAATGTATTTAAATAAGTCAAAGCGTTATTTTTTAAGAATTTAATTTTCGTCGAAAAGTCATTGAAATTTGGACAATATAAGTAGAAATAATTCCTTAAATAAGTTAGCACTCGGCTTTCTTGGTGAGCTGTTTGGAAAATTGTTGAATTTATGCAAAATAGTTTCATTTTCCGTTTTAGTTATCATTTTCGTATAATTTTGACGTTGTTTTTAATTTTTGTTAAACATAAATTTAGGTAGAGTAATTTCTCAGATGAGACTGATGAACAGGTTAAAGTTGGTTGTTAAACAAAAGTATATTTTTAAAACTTTACTGTAAACAGTAATCACAGAGTTGTATATAACAAGTAATCGAATAATAATATTTGTCACTTATAAAAAACGAGCTAGTTTATGGTAATATTTGCTACACCGTTCGGGTTCGGTAACAAAATTGCCTCAGTGGTCGAAAAACACTTCACTTGGTAACAATTTCATGCACATCATTTTCCTTGTTTAGATTCGTTGTCATGTGTTTACACAACTTTCTCCACTTTCACTCTCTCACGTTACGAATTGAATGGTATGATTTTCCATTCATCATTCCAATTTGTTTTCACTTTGATACTTTTCACGTCAAAGAAATACTTCGGCTCGGGCCCAATTATCAGCCTTCTCGGAAGGATTGTGCACGAAGGATGTGGCAGGTTTGCATATTTTGACACCCTTGCGTGTCCCATGTTATGCAATAGTTGGTTTGTGACTCCATAAAAAACTCGATGGTCTCCTTTACGCGCGGTCTTCCCTTTTGCGTGTGAAACTCGATATCGCGTTCGATCTGGGCGAAAATTGAGGAGTGACGGTAACAATGTCACACGAGACACGTTAACTTGTCAAGGTGCGTTTTGTGTCGAGAGTATTGTAGTGAAAATGATGTAAAGTCATTATAAATGTCCTGGTGGTGAAACGCTTAGAAATTGGATGATAAATTGTGGGTTATCGATTTGTGCTATATTTTACTGCGAAATGCTACACTCTAAATAAATTTGATTAAAATTTACTCAAGGTTGAGTAAAATTTGCGATGACACAACTGGTTGAGTAAAATTTACACCATGAAAGTTAGAATTTATCCAACGTTGTGGAATTTTAGCTCAACCTTGAGTAAATTTTACCTTCGTCGAGTAAATTTTGCACAACCAGTTGTGTCATCGCAAATTTTACTCAACTTTATTTGGAGTGTAACGTATTTAAATCTTTGGTAATGAAAGACTAGAATTTTAATTATGCGAATTGTATAACATTATTGTTTATTTGAGACAAAATTAGTTCCGGAAGTCTAACATGACAATAAACAATTCATACTATTTTCAGAAAATTGAAAACTTGAGAAAACGTGGCATTAAATTTAATCCATTAAAAAAGTTGAATTGCATACGTTTTTTTGCGATGTCGGATGTAATTAATATTTTTTTGACAAATTGGTCTTGCGTAAAAAAAATTGAGGACGAAAAAAATATAAAAAATTGGGAACAATATACGAACATATTAAATTCCAATTTTTTTTTAGTTAAGACAAAATTTTGACCAAATTTTATGACACCTAGTAATTAATAGTTTATAACAATACATTTTCAGAAAATTGAGAACGACGGGAATACCTGACATTAAATAAAATCCTTAAGGATGCATCCTTAGCTGGCCTCCGTCCCATGCATCATGCATGGGACGGAGGCCAGCTAAAACCCTGATAGCTCCACTTTCGCTCCCAGTGGCGAATGCTCTTAACTTTAGTTCACAGCCACCCCCGAGGTGGCATGCAGTTGCCTAAAATGAATATGAAGTGAAATACATTGGGCATAACTCACCACCATCACTCACGACTCGTGCGTCACTACTCATTATGTCGATTTGATCCGAAAGTCGAGCTCTCTGCCTATCCGAACACATGATCCGCTGTGAAATTTCACAAAAAATTACTCTTTTCGCTCAATTTTGAAGATATTTTGATGTTCAATATCTCAAATTGTTCACAAGATAATTATCTATAATTCCTCTAGAGGAATTTTTGAAATTTTGTTTCCTATAATTTCCAACTCAATTTTAAACTTTATATTGGTGCAGAAATTATTAGAAATAATATTGCAAACATTCCTCTAGAGGAATTATAGAGCATCCTCTTGTGAACAATTTGAGATATTGAACATCAAAATATCTTGGAAATTGAGCGAAAAGAGTAATTTTTTGTAAAATTCACAGTAAAGTTATTTAACATGTGTTAGGATAGGCAGAGAGAGTTGACTCAACTCGTCAGGAGAAGTCGCGAGTGGTGGTGGTCATTTACGGTTAAAAAATGAGCTGGATAAACTTTCGAGGGCGGGAAGAAAAATTTTAACAAATTGGAGGACTAGGACTCAGGAACATTGTAATTTTTGTAATTTGGGTCGAAATCTACATAGATTTTCATGGCACATAATTTAATAAAACATGGAAACATATTTTCAGAAACTTGAAAATGGCGAGAAACTCTGGGATGTAAATATAATCCCTAGAAAAATTTGTATAGAAGCGTTTTGGGTGAACATAACTGTCCGGAATCTTTGAGCATGAAAATTAATCTTGGAATTTTTGGCTTGGAAATAATGAATGCCAGAAATTTTGGCTTGACAGCCCGTGCATTTTACAGCCTTGCATCGGCCTTGGGCACTAGTGCAAATTTTTAATTTCGATGCGGCATACTGTTGTCGCTCAGTAGAATATCATCGCTATCAGTGCGATGACCATTTTCGATTATCTATTTCCTGTCTATTCAAATACGGTTCTTTTGGAAACAAAATATTATAAATCGTTTCCGTCAATTTTTTCACTGTCACCTTTTACTCCACAAATTCTTCTCTCACTCGTTCACCCATCAATCCATCACGATATATGTATAAAAATGCAACCACAGCACAAAAAAGCGGCAGTACTAATCCTTTTGGAACGTACATGAAGATTGAAGTTTTTTTAATTGTGTCACTTTTTGTCAGCATAATTCAAACTATCCACCTTCAGATGCAGCGATCTAGCAATTTATAAAAATCTGCAAATTTAGCAATTTTTTTAAACAACGTGAAGCCACACCAATTTTTAAACAAATTACCAGGCACGGTTTGATCCAAAGTTTTTATACAGTTTCGTCAATCGCTGACATGTTTGTCAATTTATTAACAAACGTACGGATTTTACAATGTTACCAAAAGTGAATTGTCTGAAAGTTTGTCTTCGATTGTTGTCTATAATTTATAAAAGTGGAAATTGCTTCGGTAAAAAATGAGTTTGTTACACTCTAAACAAAATCGTCACCAAAATCATCTCCACGTGTAGGTACTATACTGCTCTAAGAATTGGAGACGATTCGTCTGCGCGCGGAGACAAACTTAATTTATCTCCGTTATGTTGATAAATATTTTTATCTCCCGTATGGTAATATTTTGTCACTCTGAGATAGTAAACTGTATCTAACGTGGAAACAACCTACCTCACCAAAAAGTGATAAAACTTTACCTAGCAATAACAATATGCGGTGATAAATTGTTTCCAGATGGAGATATTTCATT